ATCGAATAAATAATATTTGGGGACTATCTGATCGTCTCATCCTATTCAGAAAGCTCACTAACCCTTTAAAGCTGCAATAACACTTTTTTAAGTTAAGGCAATCTAGGCAAAAAAAAAGTTCCTTATTTAGGACCCAGTCATTCTCCCCATTGGGATTGTAAAACTGTCGAATAAAGCCAATTTAAGAGCTTTGCATCCAGTTGGATGGTCCTGAAAAAAATGCTTAAATCTTAAAATAAACAAGTAACAATACTAGTCTAATGTTTGTGAGATAAATCAATACCACTTTCTGAAATATATTAGTAAAACAACTTGATGAACACCAACTACGGCAACGAGGATCTGGGCATGATTTAATACACCTTCATAAATGGATAAGATCAGATAAGCTGATGGGCTCATTCAAGAGGATGAGCTACCAATGTTTGCATTATATTAGCTTTTAAGAGACAGCGATCATACAACATTGAGCAGAAGCTGTATGAGTCAGGTTAAGCTGGGTATGCCCTGGTTATATTTACAGCATCAGCATATCAACCTTATACGACCCATATTCATTGACACAGTCAAATATAATATTATGGCAGAAAGAGGCAGCTGAAGAGCTTGTTAATGCAGTCGTGTTTTAAGACGGTAGACCATTCAAAAGCCAACAGCATCTCAATGCAAAGTGTTACTTAAACGTATTTCCACATGCCATTGATAAGTTTGTTGGCTTGTGAAATGTGGTTTACTCATCATGAGCAGGAAAAGGGACGAGGTATCAGTAGAAGGCATGTCAAAGGAAAATCAGCTTTGGGAGGCCTTTATTTGCTAAGTCCTCTTTGTTTCCATTGTCTTTGTTTGAGTAGAGCCAAGCTAATAGCCAATACAAAGACACAAGATGTAAAGAGGCTTTATCAGGGTCACAGAACAGTGGGGAAGTTCATCTCGGAGCCAAGTGTTGCGTAATGGCTTCCTCCTGCTGTAAGTCAAGTCAGACCATCTGAGCGCTGTTGAGAACATCTGTCCTGAATGCACACTTTGTACCGCTGCAGTCACCCTGTCAATCAAACATGTTCGTGCATGTGTCACGTACTATCAACAGCCTCTGTGCATTTGTGCCTACACCGGTTCAGGGTGCACGAGCATCTACATTTGTATGAGTCTATGGGAAAGTAGAGTTGACGCCACGTCTATTTTTAGTCACAGTACACTGAGTACTGCCTCTGTTCCTAGGACAAGCAGGCGGGTCATCAGCAGCAGCAGCAGAGCACTAGGAAAGCTCCAGCCCTGCTCCCTGACCTCGGTCCTCCGACTCCTACATCAGTGGGAGAGACTTACAAGATTCCTGGTCAGTCGGGGGAGGCTATCTGCAAAAAAAAAAAAAAAAAAAATAGGCGCTTTCTTGATGGATGCCATGTTCATCCACCTCTTTCTCTCTCCAGTGACTAATGGGCTCATAATTCAGCTGTCACACTGGCACGTTATCTCGCATTTTCTCACGGGAAGGATACCACCCTGGAACATCTCTGCCATAGACTAAAGAGAGAAAAGAAATGCCTCCCAACGTTGCTTTATTTCAACTAAAGGTACTGTGATAACAAGATGGGATTAGACACTAAATCCACGTTAAGTATTGAGACAAACCCAGACGGATAAGATAACAGATGGATCTCGAAAAACAGTGTAAAAACTCAACTTAGCTTAAGTGTGACCCTATTACTCACCCAGAAGTGTACAAGAAAAGAAAAAAAAAACCTTCAACCCTTATCTGGAACAAGTCATCGGTGAAACTTTGAGTTAGCAGTCTGCAACATCTGCCATGTTAACACAAAAGCTTCAAGGGCAAAATTCCAAGATAGTCGTTTCCTGTTAAAACATCATCAACATAAACTGTTCAATAAATTCAACAGGGTTAAATTGTGAACATTATCTTGGTATTCATGTTGGAGCCAAGTGTTGGCATTCTTGTCCAATTTTTACTTTTAAAAACATCTTGGCAGCCCTGCTCCTGATGTCTATTAAACGGTAGACCACACATCTTCTTTTTCCATTCCAGGTTATAGTTTTATCTTCCATAAGACTTGAAGGCATTTGTTTTTAACCCCTGAAGTTACAGATAGGTCATCTAAATACATAAAAAAAACATTTTAATACTGCTTGTTCTGTTTCCATGCCAAGCTCACCAAAGCGGCTTCTATCAACTTTTTTGTTGAAATGGGAAAATGTACTATGTCATTGGTCTTGTGCCTTGGATCTTACCAGACCAAGCTTCCACCTTTGACCAGCAACTTTATCCAACCAGTGTAACATTTGAATTTGAAAAAGGTCATTGTATGTTTCATTTTGTTTCAGGACACATCAGTTCGTCTATGTACTACAACAGCCCGATTACTGTATTTAGTTTAACAGCTTGTCATTCAGACTTCTGAGTGTTGGGGTTGAATGTTAAGCTCTCACTGCTCTGTCATGTGCTTGTTTAATAAAGTACTTCCACTTGACTCAACACCGGTCAGTGGAACAAGGGAGTTATGATTAGGCCTGGGTGTGAAGCTGCTGCTAAGCATTAATTTGGCCGAGGTCTAGTGAATCAAAATGCCTGCCTGTTATTATATTCAACAGAAATCTCTTCAGAACCAGAGTTCACTCCAACCAGGGATAATAATCCTTCTAATAGGCTTAAATGAATTGAAACTTGAAGTTAAGTGGCGGGCTTGGCTCTCTTTGTTTGCGTGTGCAGAGGGAAGTTGGACATGTGTGCAGAGTCAGGGGCTCCAGGGCCAGGCCCTCTATCCTTCCTGTTCAGTTACCAGAGGCCTCACACTTATCAGTTCCAGATCTCACAAGAACAGAGAGAAACAGAGACCACTGACAGGAAGTCAACTTTTTTTTTTCTGGCCTTTTTTTTTTTTTTTTTTTTTTTGTTCCTCTAGCAAGGTTAACAGAACGTTTGAAACCCTCACATTTCACAGAGGAAAGCAATTACTCAGAGCTCCAACTGAAGCAACGGAGACAAATGTCAACCTGGCTACCCTCAAACATCAACCACCTGAAATAAGACTTTGTTCATCGATGGCTTTCATCAACTTATCAACTAGACACTACCCAGCAAACAAGTAATTGATTGTAAGATTCATTTGTCAAAAAAAATAAAAAAGATCAGACTTTCATTAACATACTGCATGTCGCAGCAAAGACAAAGACAAATGCAGCAACTTTCTGGGATCAACCAACTGAAACGAAACAGGGCACAAAGCTGTAAAAGTCAACTGATTGATTAAACATCTTGCCATCATTTGTTCAATTATTTAAGCTCAAAAATAAGTTTTAGCTTCTCAAATATAAACATATTTTACTAGGGCAACAGAGACAAACAACAACCTTGGAACTTTCAGACATGAACCGACTGAAATGACGCTTTTGTTATGAACTGATTTTAACGACTCATCAATCAGACAATCAATGTAACAGACCTCTCCAACATTTCTGCAAATGTTTGGATCATTTCTCTAGATATATGGCCGGTCTTTTATATGTGTTAGCTTATTAAATGTTCTTACAATGGCGCATCAGAGACATGACTAAGCTGACTAAACGAGCACTAGCTTAACTACTACTAGTTTAACTACTTCTATAGTTAAAGCCGCTTCAGTTACAGAGATTTTATTTGCCTTAAAATCTCGTGGATCACATTTTCCTAAGCGAGATTTTCACCATTTCGTGACTGCAGCCTCTCCATCAAACCCAGCCTAAAAAAAGACAACCTTGCATCGATAGTCAGAGTGAAAAACAATCTGTCACTGGGAGAGAGAGAGTTGACTCTGAACTGAAGCACTCGTGTCATGCCACTGTTCGTGTCATATCCCCCTTCGTTCCACTTGCTCTCGCTGCCTACCTCGCCTGACATTTCGACAATAATCACTTTGGTTTATCCCACTCAGCTGTGTGGCGGGCAGATGTTTGTCAGGGCACCGTATTTCTCAGCATTCACACTGCTCTAATCAAGATTAACCACTCTTATCTATTCAGTGTGTGTATGTATGTTGGATGCCCCAATTCCTAATCCATGAAGCCGAAGCTGTATTGTATAATACAGTGGACGAACCAATTACATTCCCTTTCCACGACATAATTCTCTCTTTTAGCGGAACATACACTGAACTACATATTGCATAAGGATAAACTGGTGGCCTGCTGTTAAAGTCCTTCCCTGCACACATTTGTCCAATTGCACATGGACTTCAACAAAACAGATCACACATCACAGCACTTTGTTAACCCCCCCAGGAGCTTCCAATGAAATCAACATGCTGTGCAAGGGGAGCTGACTCTGGCCACACACAAACTGCTGCCATTGAGTGTTTACCAAAGACACTTGAGCACAGAGGAGGATAGAGCATGTCCGAGCAAACAAAGTTGTAGTCTTTAAATCATTGTAGGGGAGGCAGATATCTGTTTCCATTAACAAGCTTTGTTTAACTTCTGTTGCAACAAAACATCTTTCCAGGAATAGACTTTTTCCAACAAAGCAACATCACAGAGCTCAATAAATCTTAGGGATTAAAAACAAAATGATGCCTTGTTAATAGCTATGTTATTTATTTTGGCACAGGCACGAGTCCTGCTCTTAATTTGTGGTATTAATACCCACATTTCCCATCAAAAAAATGTTGCGATAGAGGGACGACAGACAAGGCTAGTTACTTGATTAAAAATGTTTGCCGCCTTCATTGACTCTCTGGCTTTATTCACTTAGACCATCAACTGTAAAGTTCCAGTTGTTCAACAGGGCAAATTTATTTTCTAAAAGTTGACCAAAGTCTAACCTGTTGTAAGATTATAAACCATTTAACGATACCTTGACTGTACTAAAAATAATGTTGAATACCGCTTGAATAAACGCTAATAGCTAAAAACATTAGCATAAAGTAACCACATTATCCACCCTAAAACCTGGGCTCCGCAGGTGCCATTGTACAAACAAATCTTTTTTTTTTTTTTTTTTTTTGAAGACTCACCTGTGTTGACTTCAACTCTGGATTCTTCACCACCAAGAACCCCCCCACCCATTCACACACCAGGAGGGGAAACACTTCAGCGCCTCTTGTTTCTGTCCCTGAGAGAAATCAGAGGAGAGAAAAAAAACAAAAAAACAAAAAAAAACATCAATCAGCGCTGCATTATCAGCCACTCTCCAAACCCTGACATATATTACATTTGCATTTGTTTTTTTTTCTGAAAATCAAGCAATGATTTCCCTCCTCACAGCTTCCTTCAGGCTCTGAGTGGCTTCCATCTTAATGTGATGTACTTCCCTTCTCTGCATGGATAAGCTCCTTCACGCTCCGGTGCCCATGAAGGACGAATCAAAACAGCAACTGATACTTCACATGATCAGTATGGTATCATAAACATCCGCCGCACAGTAAGTTCACTGACAGGGCGCATTCACAATCCACTCCAGATTGACAGATAAGCCTATTAAGAGAGACCTTCACTAATATTGCTTTGCACTTAGCCTATGCTTCCAGGCCTCTCATGCAAAGACCCGGTGACACTCAGATCTTGAAAATGACCACATTGGTTATTGTGAATTATAGTATTATAGGTTTTTTATCAATGTAAAAATAAAATAAAAAAATTGGTATATATTTCACACTCTGCCATAGCTCAATTGTTGTTGTTATACCTTTACCACAGTCCAAAATGCCTCTAACATTGCCTTTAAATTGGTGTCTTAGTAAGCTTTCTACTCAATATCATCATATACCATAGCTTCCATTCATGCCCCCAAAAATCAGTTCTTTCTCTTTACACAAAAGAGTTGCACACACAGCAAAAAAAAGTATATCATATCAAGTGTGCTGCTGGCAGATATTGAAAAGTCAAGCTAGCAAAGTGAAACATTTAGCTAGCAGTTTGAGTTTGAGCGAGCAAAATAGTGATAGGGTGAAACGGTTATTTTATCCTTGTTTATTGTGAAAATAATGATCACAGGTAAAATCACAACATTAACAGATTCATGAACAAGGTTTATCCAACACTCTTTGGTAGACAAAAGGATGTCAGAGAGGCTGTTAGCCGCTAACATGAACGTTAGCTCAACTTGATCGTAGGTGCCGCTAGCTTGTTTTCATTTCAAGATTCAGAAGTATTTTTCTGGGCCAGACCATACAACAACAACACCTGTCATACTATATCCATACAGGCTCAGTGGTATAGCTTAGATTTGTTAAAAAAATGATTTAAAAAATGTTTTAGTGTATCAGTGTCGCAGCTGTTAAATATGTGTGGAGCGGCTGATGTGTCTGTTGTAACTCTTAGTGACTGAAGCTTAAATATAAAGGACAATTTACATGGTGAGATAGATGACCTTCACACGAGAGGTCAAGTAGGTGACAGTTAAATTTAAAGTCCTCACTCTGAATAAAGGGTCTAGGTTAAAGCAGCACCTAAACATAATCATAATTAAAGGCAGTGTGGTTCTTAGCTGGAAGAGCAAAAAAAACAAACTGTTGGTTGCTTTCTATGCTCAAGCTTTGTCCTTTAATCAACCATAATATTTCAAAGAGCTGATAGAAATGGTGGATGAAAAGAAAGAAAACAAATGCCTTCAAGGTTTTTCTGTAGCGCAAGTGAATTTATGGAGTGTAGAAGAGTGTGACATGCCATTTTTTCAACTTAACACACTCTTTGTTTAATTCTTGGGCAACCCTTTTTCTGCATAATTTTCTGCTAGGCGAAACACAGAATACTGGCCATTTCTTTCCCCCAGCAGATCTCCAATGGCTTCTCCTGAGCTCACGCTTTTATTGACAGCACCCGGCTGATGCTCCAAATGCAAAAACAGTGGAACCAAAAGGTGTACTTTCACATTCAGCGGGAGAAGGTGGCCTCTTGTGCCTTACACTGTTTTTAATCATTGTAAGATTTTTCAGGTAGTATTTCTCCCCTATTGTAAGTGTCACTCTGTGAAAACATAATGTGGAGGAGCGCTGTGGGCTCAGTGGGGTCGGGAGGGAGGGAGGAGAAGTGGCGAGGAAGAAGAAGAAGAAGAGGAGGAGGAGGGGGTTGATGCTGGGTCCCTCCTTTTTAAAGCCAGATTCTCCCCTGATACCTCTGTGCTATTCATCAACAGCCTTTCCAGAGCTGAGAAAAATCAATGTGCTCTGCACTGCAAACAGTTCATAATGACGGGGGATGGAGGGGAAAAAAAGCTCAACTGCAACAGAATTGATTTGTTTAAGTACAATAACACGGCTCTGCAGCGCGGCGAGGAGGAGGCTCGGAGCCCAGACAAAGACTGACTGGCAGCATAAAACCACAAGCAGTAATTGACAAACTGCTGGCAAAGTGAAAAAATGAAATACAGAAGCCTGTTATCTAATTAAAGGAGAATTTACACTCCATTTCTGAAAATTACCACCTGACAGAAGAAATAACACTTTTGAAACTCAAGTGGCTGCAAATGTTACGATAAGGCACGATATGATATGATAGGATACCATACTATACAATACACTTAATTGTTCCCTTGGGGAAATTTGTCATGGATTTATTTCATGATTTACCATCAAGGGTTTAAATAAATATTGGTTAGTCAGTCTTTTTTTTTTTATAAAGGATCATCGAGTTCCTTTTTTTGCCAGAAAAATGACTCAATATATATAAAGTTATTTAATTAAGAAAGACAAAAAACTAAAGAAGCAGCAAATCTTCCCATCTGAGAAGTAAGTTCAAAAGTCTTAACAACAGTGTCACTAACTAAAAGGAGTGATTTATTAACACAGAATAATTGATATCGTAACTGTGTATGCACTTGTGAATGAATAAGACTAGCAAACAAACAAAAATCCAGAAAAGATCATTTCCCACAAATACACACTTCTCCCTTTTTCATGCATACAAAAATTGCACACCAAGAGATATTACCCTGCACCCCGACACACACACACACTAAAAATGTATGATCATTAGTTGGTCTTTTATTCACACAATTTGGAGCCACTGCAAAGGACATGCACATTCTTTTCCCACATAGACGACCAGAACAACACAAGATGAGATCCTGGACCTCCTGATTCTTGGGGGTGGGGGGAGCTGGGAGTAAAATGTGTCAAACCAGGCCAGCACAATAAACAATTCTCCCAGCTTAAGCCGGCCACATAGGTGCATTTATCATTGTTATTATTCCTTCACAGAGGCCCTCCCAGGTTTAATTGGGTCCTCATGGAGTCAAAATCCCTGCTGTCGGTGCAGCCACCGGAGCTGGACAGACTCAGGGTTTGGACTGGCTGCATGAAGAACAGACATTCAGTGCAAAGTTGCCATGAGACCCGCCGGCGAGTCAGACAGGGTCTTCGCTTGGACAATGAGAGAGGGACACCTGGAGAGAAACTCTCACCTGGCCCTGATCTCAAGGCTTTGGGGAAAAGCTCATGAGAGCCACAGGCCGTCTGTCCACACAGCCAGCTCTCTGCAGCCATTAGTCCCAGTGGGAAAAATTAGCATTTTAACTGTTAAACACAGTGGATTTTGAATGCACAAGGACATGAAGCATGTGGAAAGAGAATTAATTAGGTTTTTAAGAGGGTTTTTGGCCTCAATGAAAAGGGAAATAATGAGCTATAGTGATAACATAGGCACAGAAAACAAACATGCAGAGCTGCATTATCTTTCAAATATTTGCAGATTACAATTAAATCATGTATGGGGTATACTTGAAAACGCAACATTAACTAACCTTCTCTCTTTAGATGGGTATGTTACATAGTTTTAAAATCAGTACAGGAACCGTTTTGATCATTATTTTCTCAGTAAATATCATCTCAGGAACTTCTGACCCCCCGTTCACCCCCTAAACTTTGCTCCTCTTTGTAAGCTTGGCACCAAAACTCATGACGCCTGCTTGAGGCTGCTTCCTGTCTCTGAAGCCTTCAAGACATCGACCAAGATATGCATCTTCACTTTTCAAGAAGACACTTGAGGGGGACACTAGATTGGTAAATGTAGGAATGACAGTTCGATTGTAAAGATTTCCAGCAGGAGAGAAAGGTTTCAGTTTCCAGAAGATCAGTGGAAGTTCACGCTGGAAATCATCTCACCTCACCATGTGTTTACATTTGCACTAATGATGGGGTTATAGACAAATTAAGTTATTTAACAGGAATTAAGTGTGCATGTCAATAACTCATCAACGTTCCAAATGACATGTTTTGTATGGACCACAGGGCTTTAAAGAATTATTGAATCACTATTCATGATACCGTTGGTAAACTGCTTCTTTAATTTCACTGTTAGTTTCAATTCAAAGAAGTCAAATCATAGAAAGGCCAATTAAAACATATTTTCAACTTTGTTTTTTAAACAATCAATAACTTTTTGAGGAAATCCCTTTGGGCTCTGGAAATGTTGTTGAGTATTTCATTCAAAACTAATCTAATTTATAGACTTCATGATGAACCCTTTGACCATTCTGTTTAATTTAAAATAAAAACTATGACAGTTAGTTTGGTGTATTTGCTTAAATACCCTTTGGCTAAAGATGTACAGAATCTATGCCAGAAAATTTGGATTTTGGCATTCAAATCAATAAGCTGTTACTGAGGTTTAGTAGGATGTGTATCCTTTCATAAAACTAAAAATTGATAACATGAAACAGTGCAAGAAAAAAGAAACCTTCTGTTATCATTTGTTACTTGTTGTTATTGGACGCTGTGTGATTTCAATTTACTCTAAAGCCTTTTAGTGGAATGTTAACCTAATCTTGTAAATTACAGCGATGGTGTTATAAAGCCTGTATTAACTGTACTGTACTCACTGACTCTGAAATCCAGGTTAATAGAGGAGGGATTGAACATTTCCCCAACACACATGCCGCTGCTCTCTGTGGAACATCCATATGGATAGATACATTACACAGGGAGGGTTGTTGTTGGGCAAAAGCCATCAACAGTGAGAGTACCACTGCAGTAAATGAGAGCCGTAGTGATGATTACAGGTTTAGAGATAATGGTGTTTTAGCGTGATACATTCAGAGAGCATGAGACGCCGGCGTAGTTAGCTCCCCACTCCTCACTCTCTGCTGATTAACACAATCACTGGCGCCTAGTTAAC